CTAAAGTGGCTGAAATGGCAACTGCCGTTTTCTGTGTATTTCTTACAGGAACGTGCGCGGTGGGATTTGACCCAGGTGAGGCGGCCTATGCTCCCCTCTGCCTCACACTCAACGCAAATGTCAATCTGTGGAAGGCAGGGAACAGGGACCGGAGGCCTCGGACACCGTGCAGGTGGAATGGGGCACGTGGCCGGTCTTGGAGCGCCACCCACCGGTGAGGGGCTCCTACCCCAGGCAGAGGGAGGGCATCGCCTCTGTGACTCAGAGCTGTGGCCCCAGGAAGCAGGGCCAGAGCCCCTTTTTCTCCCAGTCCTTTTGCCACGGGGGCCCAAAGGCAGGCTCACTTCAGTAGGGTTAATTTTTTTTTTTCCTTGCCTTGCTGGGCTACAAAAATGGGGAGTCTGAGGAAACTAAACAAATACATTGAGGATCTTGAAGGAGAGTTTAAGAGTTTATGAAGACAACAGCCCTGACCGCCCCAGTGTGCACGTGACCTAACAGACACATGGGATTTGCGAACCGAACTGGACAGACCGCCTGGGTCCCCGGGCCAGGCTAGCCAGGGATGCAGCCACAGGTCGGCTCCTATGGCGGAAGCAGATCTGCTGAACTAGTAATGTCTGAAGGTATGGTGAGTCAAAGCCTCTTTGTAGACCGAAAGATCCAGGGAGTAACTGACAGCCGTCTCCAGGCCACACACCTGACTCATCCCAGTAAAGGCTCAGAAGGCCCTTGCTTGTGTTTCCCCTGCTGGCTTTAAGGTGCAAATGGCCGCCCATCAAGGCGATAAATACCCTGATGTGGAGGCTGGAATTCTCAAATAAAGATTCAGAGCAGTCATTATTAAAATGTTCCACCAAGTTAGGGCAAACCCAGTTAAAACCAGTGGGGCGAAACAGTGTAGGCAGAGACACAGAACGCGGGGAAGGATCTCCTCAGAGCCCGCCTGCCTCAGCAAAGAGCTTCCCTCCTCCTCTCTGGGCGCTGCTTGGTTTCCTGATGGAATGTCTGCCATGACACTGTTAGCAGAAAAGGCACAGAAGGCAGGTAGCAACTTTCAGCCCGAGTTCAATTAGAGTGAGTTCCTGCTAAACCAAAAAGTCAACAATTTCCACAGGATTGAAACAAGGCCCAGTGTTGTATAACATAATATTCAGTACGCCAAGGACACAGCCCGAGATTACTCAGCATTCGAAGAAACAGGCAAAGCTAAACTCACACAGAAAAGGCATTCAGACTCTGCCATGGAGGTGAGAGGCAGGCTGGAATTCTCAAATAAAGATCTGGAACAGTTATTATTAAAATGCTCCAACCAGAAAGGGCAAATGCCGTTAAAGCCAATGGAAAAATACCGTGTTGGCAGAGACACAGAAGACTCGAAGAGGAACCCAACCGAAGCATTAAATCTATAATAATAAGCTAAAAAAACAAAATCCACGAAAGGAGTTCAAACGTGAAATGGAGAGCAAGGGGGTGTGAGTTCACATCAATGAAAAGTATCGAATCCGAATAACAGAGAACAAGACCGAGAAAGGAAGAGGGAAGAAAGGAAGGACCAAGAGGCAGAGGGAACAGCTCGGGTCGGAAAACAGCAGCAAATACCTATACCATCCACATCACTGGGACTCTAATACAGATCAAATTCACGTTGGACGATTTCTTTGAAGGAAAATGGCTGAACAAATCCACATTTGGCAAAAGACACAAATTCAAAAAGTTCAGCACACTCTAAAGAGGTCCAAAGAAGTTCATACACAGACATAATCAACTGTGAAACCTTTAAAAAAAAAGATGAAAACTGATGCGACACTTGGAGAGAGCGAACAGTCAGATAAGGGTGGGTCTCTCCTCGTCACAAAACCCAGGACGCCAGAAGGAAGCCCTTCACTGTTTACACACTGGAGAAGTGAGCTGTTGATGCAGAATTGTAACCCAAAGTCGACATTCTTTTTTTTTAAAGATGCATTTATTGCATACAGAACTGGGGTGCAGGCCAGAGGTGCAGGGGCGGTGAGAGGCTTCACCAGAGACAGAGCAGGGAACGGAACAGGCAGATCGACAAAGCACACTGCTGAGGGGAGCAGCGGGCGGGTCAGGAGAGGTCTGCCGCGCCCTGTGGGTCAGCTCCGGGTGGGGACTGAACTCCTGCTGCAGTGGCTTTAACTTCTCTGTGCTGCGCTTTAACCCGCTGCGCCACCAGGGAGGGCCCACGTCGACATTCTTTAGAAATCAAAGTCAGCTATTAAGGGAGCTGAGCGAGTGTGTGACCCTTTAACCTGCTCTGAAGCTGTTGCCATGGAAAGTTCTCTAGAGGGCCACCACCAACAGGCAGAGCCTGAAACACCAGCCTAAGCGGAGCAAAGATAAGCATGAGTGTGGGAGCCAAGCATGCGTTCCCAGGGTCTCCCCAATATGTCTAAGGATTGAAGGTCAACATTACCAAACAGGCCCTCTCCGGTGGCGCAGCAGGCAAGGACGCAGCACTGCAGGCTGGCCACAACCGCTTCAGTGTGAGTCTGGCCCCCGCCCGGAGGTGACCCACGGGGCACAGCAGACCTCCTGACCCGCCCGCAGAGCCACCGGTCTCTGGTGCATCCTCTCACTGCCCCTGACCTCTGGCTTCTACCCCAGTTCTGAGGAATAAATAAATAAATCTTTAAAACAAATTACAAAACAGATGCACCTGTCTACAATATGGGCGCTAAGGTCACGGGTGCAGGCAGCAGTGAAGTTTCCACCTTCTAAGTGGAGAAGGGGAGCCGTGCCCACCAAGTCAAATGTGTGTGTCGTGACCCCTAGAGGAGCCCTTATAAAAACCCACAAATAGCGTTGTGCCCTGAAGCAACTCGGGGTCCATTTGCAGAGAAAAAAAAAAAAATGGAAGCTGCAACTAAAGGGTGATGGTAAGGCTTTTTTTTTTTCTCTCTCTTTTTTCTTTTTTGTAATTTTCAAATTATCTTTCGGGCCATGTAGGGCATTTGTAATCAGGAAAGCTTTCCTGTCGGCGTCCTGCCAAGATATAGGTATATGTGGTATTGTAATAGCAAGGGCTTTTGTTCTCGTTAATTAAATAAGTGTTTTAATG